ACAGAGAGGGTTTTTTCTCCTCTCTCCCAGTTACGTGAGTGGATGCTGATTTTTATGACACCTTCAAGTCCTAAATCAATTGACAGTTTAGCCCAGAAAGTTTACAAAACCCTAAGGAGCCATGAACTAGGGCTCCCCATCCCCATCCCCCCAGCTTCTTACTCCCTATAGGTACCAAACGCAAGCCTTTCAACACAACACCCCAGTCCCATACGTACCTCAAAGCTCCCTCGGGTGCCCTTATCCCTGCAGCCTTTAGCCTCCTTCCCCCGCGGCGGGGCCGACTCCGCAGCTCCAACATCGAACGTGGCTCTCACCTGGCTCCAAGGCAAGGGATTTCCAGGAGACCGGTCAGCCAAAATCCTGGTGAAGCAGTGAGTGGGCAGGCTCGGTGGGTACCAGTGCTGCTGTGGAAATCGTTTGGTGGCTCCCTTCGAGCCTCCAAGGGGGGATGCAGTGGGTGGATGATGATGAAGATGAAGCTCATCTCCTCCACTCCTGCAGCTCTTGCTGCTTTGCCCAGGCAGCGGCTCCGGCACCTTGGGCTGGTCGTGGCTCGAGGACAGGGACCGTGCACTCTTCGAGGCGAGGACTGCTTCTCTACTCACCCGTCCGGGATGCCAAGCCAGTGCTTTTCGGGTCTGTAGAACAACCGCTACCTTTCCTGTTTCTTCTTATTCTTGGCACAAAGGATTTTGAATCGTTTCCAGCTGAGGTTAAAAGCATTTCAGAGTCTGTTTGCAGAGTGGTTTTTTTTTTTTAAAGCATCCTCTAGTTGTAACTCACACTTCCCCCCCCCCCCCCCACCACATACACAAAAATATCCAAATGGCTTTTAGTTTAGTAGCTGTCATTTTCCTGAGGAAAAACTCTGGAGTAGGATTTTTTTTTTCTGCCCCTTTGCTTGGTTTTCAAATTTCATCTTCATATTTCAACAGTTACATCACACATCTCCCATCTCAGGTGGGGGGAAAAATGAACTCGAAAGAGCACAGTAATTCACATCACCTTGTTTCCTAGGCAGAGGACCAAAATACTGCTTGCAAAACACCAGTGTTTTTACATTACAAAAATACAATTAGGCTCTCAATTAAATTTTGTTAACTTTACTCTTGGGAGTTTGTTAGCACAAGACAGCCGAAGGAACTCCCAAGGGCTCTCGCTAAAACCCTCTGCACTAAGCCTCGCCATTTCGGCAGCTACAAAAACGGGAAAAATTATTTCTTCCAAGTACTAGAACCCAAATTCTGCAGACACATCCGCCATAACCTTTCTGTACGTCGTCAGTCCCAGGGAACAAACTGCATTTACTCACTTCACTGAACTTTTTTGATGTGCGTACCCATGTGTTTGCAGAAGTGGGGTGCTTAAGTGGCGGCTCACGGACAAGACGTACAGACTGACAAACTGCTTCGACAACAGGACTCTCCGCTTTTTCTGAATACTGGCATCTCCCAAAAAAGAGAGCTTTCAGATGTAATTAAATTTTACTATTTTATTTGTGAAAAAACTACAAGCAGAATTCATAAATAGACATTTCTATTTAAAGCAGGAAAATGATAAAGTGGCTTCTAATAACAGTCGTGCACATGCCAGTAACAGGAATATATTAACATCTTTTATTTGCTAGACAAAGAGCAGTGTCCAATATAAATTTCCCGAAAACATTTAAGACCTGTGAATTTCTGACCAGTTCACAAAACCACCATTGACACTTTAGCATGAAGATTAAAACAAACCTAACAGGACTGTCAGCTCTAAAGACTTTACAGAGCGGAAAAACTTTCAAAAGCGTTATACAAGCTGTCTTTCTGGGCAAATGAAAAATATAGCTCGTATAATACATTAACATAAAAATCCACAAGATAAGATTATGTTTTGACATACTTAAACAAGCATTCTATATTTGTCTCCAACAAACAAAGCTAAGGAAATAATGTAACCATCTTTACACAGTAAATTAAGGTTACAAGTCATACACAAGAACAGAACTGCTTGCGCATTAAAAACTGTTCAGCTCCATTGTCATACTCTAAATGTTGGCTCTTAAAACCATTCGGTTACATACAAGCAAAGGTTATTATATAGTCAGCAATTAATAAATTTTCAATAATTTAAGTTTACGGTAGAGCTTAAAAAAGTAGACTGAGAATGATCTTGGTAAGGCAGGTGAAAACATCTCAGTGGAAATAAACTCACGGAAGCTGCTGCCCAATTTTCGATCTGTCCAATTTGAAACAAGCAAAGTGTTCCAATTAAAATAAATAGCCTGGTGGCGTAAAACGCTGTCATTTTTTCCTTTGCAGAACTACGTCAAACTGAGCAAGTCAGGCAAGCTGTGTCGGTGTCTGTGTGTGTGTGTGTGTCTGTGTAAGAGTTGAAACTTCGCAAACGTAACACTGTGCTTTACTTACCTGCTTTCTGTGCCACTGAACACCACGAATCTGGTCCTTCCCCTACACTAGTGTTTTCGTTGGTTTGGTTCTTAAAACACGCTCCCCACCAACAGCGGGATAACCCACGGACACAGCACAGAGGGAATCCCACCCGTGGAGGCGTGCCGTGGGGATGCTAACTGCAGAAATTAAGTGTCAAAGCAAACGCTATCCTTCAAATCCACAACGCAACAGCTACAGGCGAGGCCGGGGAGGTTCAATGCTTAGCTAGCAATTTCTACTGAATGCAGAATTACAGGTCACTTGTTCCAAAGAAATTCTCCCACTTATTTATAGCGAGCTACTTTATCGAGGAGGCACGCCCAAAGAGACCGATGTTACCGACTTTTACCAGTAGCCATGAGTAGCTGGTTACGGCGTTAAAGCTTTTTCAACTGATCTACAGGTCCATTTTCACTTGAAAAAGAAGCAATTTTCTGGTACACACAATGCTTTTTATGCTTTTTTTTTTTTTTTGCACAAATTCCCAGATTCAACGAAGAAGGCGAGCGTGCGGTTTGACTTGAAGCACCAGAATCAGCCCCGCTGAAGCCAGAGGGACTCGCCACTCGCTCACGCTCTTCGCTGGATCGCGGCCGAGATGCACGCAAGCCTAATTGATAATGGATCATTTATAAAGCAGTGCAAAATATACAAGTTCAGGGGCATCTTCAAAAAATCTCTCTTAAAAAATTATTCCAATACATTTCAGTAAAATAAATAAATATGGCTGACCAGTTTACCCTCCCTGAGACCCTTAAAGGAATAGTAAAAACTGGAAAAGGAATGTCTTTGCAATATCCCACTAATGTTAAAATGTGGATTGAGAAATTCATAGTATTTAAAACTATGTATAATAAATTGTCTTGATGCTCGTAGGAAGCATCTGGTTTCCTTTGGTTCTTTAATAAATACTTTAAAAATGCTTAAAAAGGTAAAGACAGCCTATACTGTGAATATACGCAGAATTAAGTCGGGGTGCCCATGTTAACATATTCAGAATAAAACCACCGCTGCAAAGGCACTGCCCACTGCACGAACCTTCGAGCAGGGGCTGTAACGGATCCCTTGCACATCTCTGTCGCCAGCGTGAAAGGAACCTACGTCTGCTACTCAAAAGCACACAGATTCTAAAAGAAATCTTAAATCAGTTGCCTCCACAAAGAGAAATTACTCTTGCTAAGCAAGCGATTCACAATATAACAAGCTGGCACAAAGTTGTCAAAATGTGGCCCTCTTTCATCATGCCCAGAAGTTACGCATTGGATGTCAAATGAAGCTACAGCCTCTGCACCTGAAATTACTGCAAAGCACCCTGGGGCCACTAAATAAAGATGAAAAGCCAAAGAGGTTTGGGGTGGTTGTGGGTTTTTTGTTTTTTTTTTTTTTTTTAAAAAAAAAAAAAAAGTTTCACCTCTTCAGCCTAGTGTTTTAGCAGGATAATGCATGGAAGGTAAACTGTAAAGCAACACTAACAGGCCAGGAAAAGAAATTACAGTCCGAATAGCTTTAGAGCAAGAATGAAGGAGATGCTGGTCATGAGCACGAGCCACACGTGTCGCTCACTTGCCAGCATGAAAGCTTTTCCCTACTTCTGCTCCCGCAGCAGGAGACCCAGAAGCATCCAAACGCTGACGAGCCCAACGTCATCACTGGACAAGATGCTGTTCAGAAACCACTCTTGGAATACGGATGGACTTCAAGGAGAAGAGCCACCCCAACAGCACGGAGGGGACAGACGGAAGGGGGCTGACGATGACCAACCCACGCGGCGCCGGCTGGAACGAGCACCAGCTTGCTCCCTCAACCCACGATCGCTCCCAGCCCTACGTCTCCCCGCTGCCTTCCAACCCAAAGCAAACCACTCCAGTTCTAAAGTTACCTCGGTCACTGATGCAGGTGGATGAAATTCATTACATCTAAGAACACCAAATGTCTGTGGGATTGGCTATGCACGGCAGAGCGATGCTCACGGTACCAAAATGTGCGAATCTGTGGCACGCCGACACCAGTCTGGTTACGAACGCCTACGCTCCAGCCAGGCACGAACTTGCACATCGCCAATCTGAGTTACCCTAGTGGAAACACAAGCTACCTGGAGCAATCTTTTCTCTTTTCAGATCCCACGCTATAAAAATCAAAACCGTGTGTCCAGTACATTTTAGCCATTGTTTGGGAAGAAACGGGGAAGGAACAATAGAGAGAACGGGTCCCATCCAGGTTCAAACCTTCAGGAACACTTTTCACCTAAGACCAGTTCCATTTCAGTTTCAGTACTTTCACAGAAGGGGACTGTCCCAGATCTTGAACTGTTCAATTGTTTTGTTTTTTTTTTTTTTCACTTCACAGTGTTTCAAGCACCAGCGTTTCCATGTATTGGTTTCAAATAACCCTTTAAATATATTTATTTATATATATATTTATATATAATTTATATCAAAACTGATAGTACACAGTATAACTGGAAGAAGAACTGAACTTAAAAAGGATATGTTGAAAGAGGATGGAGTTTGTGAATGCAATAAATAAAGCCCCCTTCCCTCCCCACCCACTCCCTACCCCAAAACAAAAAGTTGTAATGTTCATGGAAAATTGTGCACAGCAGATATTATAAAAAAGTAGATTCAGGAGCACATCCAATTATAAATGATTGTTAGGAAAATCATATAAAACAATGGAATACATAAAAGTGTCAAGAGTAATCGTTAGGGTGAGAAATTCCTTGGTGGCCAGATGCCCACGGCAAGCAGAAATTATCCTGGTTGCATCAGTAAGAGGTCGATGTCCGAGAAAGTGTGTGTTCAAGCACTGAAGAGGCTCTCCAGGATTTGAACAGCATGGGCAGGTGGAATGTTTGAATTTCATACCCTGATTCATAGTTTCCACAACTCCATGTGCAATTTTCAGAAAGATTCGTCGTTGACTGCCGACATGTCCCCCTTTGGCGTGGAGGAACGGGACGAGCCCTTGTCTGTGCTCTCAGAGCCCGAGCTGCTCTGATTCTGTTGTTCTGATCCTGCACTGGAGGTCACTGTAGAAGACGACGTTGAAGAAGAGCGAGTCTTTTCTTTAAAGTCTGTGATAATTACTGTGACATTTCCCACTGTGACTGCCAGCTGCTGTGCGGTACTTCTGTCCACATTTTTCAGTCTGGGTCTAAAATAAATGAGAAAACATTTACAAAAGGGATAAAAATAAATGAGAAAGGAAAAGTTTATTAGAAAAAGCATTTGACAACAAACTTGGCGTGACTTGTCCTCCGCTCGCCTGCACAGATGGCAATAGCTGGGGGGAGAACCTCGGCAGCAGCAAGTGCTGCGCAGCGGAGGACAAGGTTTGACCTGCTCCCTGCAACAGCCCGGGCTGCAGCAGCACGCTCAGCCCCAGAGGAAAGACCTGTCTTGCAGAGCTCTGCAAAGGTGTCTGCTGGAGACTTATCCCTAATCCAACTCTGCCAGAAAGGAGGACGCTACAGCAGAGCCAAGCGGACAGGAGCCAGACGGACCGAAGGATCTCCTCCCCAAGGGGCAGATGAAAGAGTTCTCTTATCTAAATTCACCATCTCATCATGTCCCCTGATGTTATGAGACAAGGCTGTGACTCTGCAATACAAAACCACATGAAAGCATTTGACCACGGCTCTTTCATTCCCATATTGGAACACTGCAGCTGCAAACAACACAGGCACTGGGACAACTTGGCTTCTCTTTCAACTGCTTTGAGCTTATACAAATCAGATGCCCAATCAGCCTATGTATAACATCGCTCAAAATGTTCCCTCTGGAACCGAGGCTATTGTAAATAAAATCCAGAATGTACAATGGTATTTCTTGCAGCTAGCTCTTTTGGTTAGGGGAAGGGAAAAAAAAAACAGAAAAAAAGAAAAAAAATCAAAACCACCAGAAAAGAACACAGTGGTATTTATAGCTCAGGATTATCTCAGTAATTTGCATGCTGTGCTATCATTCAATTAGTAATGTAGCTAATAAGGGTCTAGGCTCTAGGAAGCTGACATTCATGCACATTTCAGGGGCTGGTCCAGAGCTCTGATACAACAAACCTCGGACACTCCTCCAGCTACCAGCAAATTCCAAGTCAGCTGCAGTGACGGCTGCAATTTACAGCTTTTGCTCCTAATTAAGGGTCAGGCTTAAGGAGCGGAATATTCCCAGTAGGGAAATAAAAAAGGAGAGTCTTTATACATGAGTGAAAAGTAGCTTGCTGAGAACTGCCTTATTCCAAGGGATGGAGGGAAGGTTTAGTTTACTTTGGGATCAAGCTGCAGCTTTTAAACCAATCTGCCTTTCCTCCTTGTCGTCTGCAGCACACTAGGCTACCGCAGCCAAAACAAAACAAGGGGAAAAAAAAAAAAAAAAAAAAAAAAAAAAAAAAGGAAATTAAGCTGACTTTGTATTTGCCATGCCTACTCAATGGCTTGCAGTGGTAAGTTAACAAGGGGGAAGTCCTTCAAAAGTAGTTATCCAAGTGGTATTCTAGGACTAGATAGAAGAGAATAAAGTATTAAGGATGGATGTACAGCTTCAAAAATAGAGCAATTGTATTTCTGCAAACTTCCTTACCAAAAATGAAGTTACTGCACCAAAAATAGTATTTTCATCTCTAATCTAGGAGGCTGTTTCCATTTTTAACAAGTTTGACAGGAAATGCATTTCTGATAGAAAATACAATTAAAATACTACCGTGCTGGGATAACCGTCAGTAAAACCTCTCCTCCTTGAAACAGCCCCGTCGCTTACTGACCGGCCTTTTCAAAGCCGTGGCCGTGCTTAGTGAATCCCCACGGCAGCGAGACACATGCCCACGCGTATGCGTTGTACATACGCACTTGCAGGAATCGGCAAATTCAACACGTAACCACAGGCTAGGTTAAATGATGTCGCTTCGTTTGCGGGTGACAAGAAAGGCCAGCTAGCTCAGCAAGTTTTGGGGTTTCCGTCGGCTTTCAGATAGCATCTCGGCAGATGAAGGCAGCCCCCAAAGCATGGGCAGCAAACACAGCAGCAAGCATTCCCGGAAGCGTAGTATGCGTACGTATTTTCCTCCCTAAGCCCCGAGTTCCTCTAGGAAACCCAGTTCTTCCTGTAATTTGCCTGGGTCATTTGTTTTCTGTTGTACCCAGAAATAGCCAAAAAAACCCGCTGGCCCAGATAGCAGAACAGACCTTACTGCCTCCACCTTTCTACAGGGTTGAACATGCGCTCCTGCTCTAGCTTTTCAAAAGCCAGCACTGATAGTCATATTTAGGAAAGAAAAAAAAAAACCAAAACCCACAGAAAAAAAAAGGAGTTCACATGGCCTAAGCTGCATTAAGTTTTGCCCAGAAAAGCTCCCGCTACCAGCAGCCTTTGAGATAAGCCATGCATCAAGCACCTGAAGGAAACTACCCATGCATCTTGAAACACCACAACAAAGTAACATGGAAGAACTGGGGAGAAGCAGGGCTGAGGTGCAGGATTTCTCAATAGTCCGGCTCACAAACATATTCTCAGTGTCAGTTTTAGAACTGAGCCTTCCAACCGTTTCTGTGGGATGTTTTCAGGGTCTCCCCTGATTAAGCACAGATGGAAACCTCCAGACAATCTCTTCAGCGCATGCATACAATTTTTGCTTCCTATAGAAGGCAAAGGGGTTGGCCCATTCACGTTATTTTGCAAAATTAAACACCCTGATGCTTCATGTTTATAGCTAAAGAGGTTTACGTCCAAACAAGAAACGCGGTTGAAAACAATCATTCCGAAAGCGCCCAGGAAGGCATGGAATAAACCCAAGATATTTTGTCAGAAACAGGCACAGTATCCAAGAAGTTCAAATGGGATTTCTTCAAAATCCAGAGATCCTCAAAAGACAATTTACAAAAAACCAGTTAGGAAATCTGGGCATGAAAAAAACCTGAATGGATAACTTGTGACTCTCTAAAAATCAGATCCTTTAAAGAAGACTCGACAGCACTCCTAAGGGCAGTGAATTGCAAGAAAAGTTCCACTAAGCTAAACACTTAAAAAGATAGTTTAAGAACTGGAGGAGATTACGTATCCCTTAAAAATATCCAGCTAGACCTGATACTATTAAGGATTAATTAGGAATGACAAAAGCTTGCCGCAAAACATGGACTAAAAGACTCTGCAGTAGACAGAGTGGCTCCTTTAAGGAGTAAAAACAATTATTTGATGTAATCTATCAATTTAATATTACGTCATTAGTCAAGTGCATCAAGTCTTCTGCATCCCAAGTCTCAAAATAAGTACCATTTCAGAAAGAACAGGACAGGAAAAAAAATCATTGCTATAAAGCTGTTTTTCTCTAATCAAATCGGGAATGAACACTTCTATCTTTGGGGGCTAAGGAGTTAACAGCAGCCCCCGCAAACAGCTCAGTCTTCTGGCACAGCAAATCTTACGCTGCCCTCACTCTAGCTAACTAATGTTGCTTCAGCTCATGCGGCTTCACTACAAAATACTTATCAGAGCACATTTTAATATGAGATGCAACTCCTGTATAGCCCACGTAGGCAAAGCACCCAGCTGAATTCTGCCTTTTGTAGCTCTGTAAGTTCAATAATATAAAAACTGTACTTTGATGCCAAATTTTTGATTTAAGAAATACAGCACAAGGTACCACTCAAAGAAAACAAGGATGGAGTATCAGTATAGGCAAGACTAGGAATAAACCTCTCTCCATAGACAGCTACTCATTTGAAACGTAGACAAATTTGAAACCGACCATTCATGCTTTTTGTTGATTGCAAGATGCTAGCAAATCTGTTTATGCAGTCTTTTAATTCCCGTGTACTTGGAAAATTACCTGGACAATTACAGTGACTGAATTACAGATAAGGAAGTAAAAAAGTAACCTTTGTTACTGCTACCGAGTGATGATAAGAATTTGGTAAAGACCATTACGATTGCTGGTTAATTCCCCCCCCCCCGGTGTTTTACAGCCAAAAGCATTATTGCCCAATTGCCAATACGATTATTTTAGCAAAGAAACAAAAACTCAGTGGACAAGAGCACAAATATTTCCAATGTCTGTATCTGTTCTCACCAGCAGAGTGTTTGAGTGATGGTCTTGCCGTACTAACATGGACAGACCCTGTCTCTGTCAGTCCATCAGAACCAGCGTCTGCTATTTAACACAGTTTTCAGGTACAGAGAGCTTAACTTTATACTAAAGTTACCTTGAAGTGTGATTTGAGTCGCTGGTCTTTGTTGTAGTATTCCCAGACTGTATACTGTTCGCTTCACTAGGAGGATCTTTCACAATATCTGACTTTGGTCTGTAAGAATTGGAGGGAAGAGGGAAAGCACGATGTTAGATTAACCGCATAATTAATCAACGCACAGTGCTACTGAAATCACTCTGTATTTAACAGTGCAGCCTTCAAACTTACTTAGTCTTCTTGTTAGTGTTCTTCTTTGTAACACTTGGACTAATTTCCTTCTCTTTGTCAGGTTTTTCTTTGTCTTGTTTTTCCACTTTCTCCTTCTTCTCCTTCTTAGGCGGTGGTGGGGTTGCATATTGCTGGGCAACTTGTTGTGCCACCAACTGAGAGTTTATTCTAGGTTTTCTATAATGACAATAAAAAGAGAGATCTATAGTCAATTTTACACAGTAAAAACGACTTCACCACAAGCAATATGAAGATTTATTTCAGCAGCCATGGAAGAATACTCCAGTTATAAAGAACCAAATGGATGTCTTTATTTAATGTGAAGTACTACTGCTGCTACCAAACAAGATAGAAATTTTAAAATTAAGAAGTATGCCAAACTGCTGTTTCATCACTTTTTAGCCTCACCTAACATTCTTAATCGTAATGCTCCCTTTCCTCCATCCATGTCATGGAATCACAGCCAATTTGGGGGGGATAATAGTGAAAAAGCAGCTTTCAAGAAGTTGCCAGCCATGCACTGTGGCTACACTTTAAGAGAAGGAACAGAGTGAGTGCTAAACATAAGTTTCCTGGTAAACGCTGTCTCCTTCATATCTTTCAATTTAATTTTTCAGATAAGCTTCTGGTTCCCTGAAGCAGCAAACCTCACACAAATAACAAAGAAGGTAACTGAGATGACTTTGTCCCGAGGCCCGGGACCAAAGCTCGCTGGCAGGAGCACAGAAGACAAGCGGGCATTCACGCTTCCACGGGGGAACGGCCGTGCCAGCCTCCGACACACCATCTTCTCACAATTGTCTGCAGTCCCCAATGGTGCTCGGACAAAATACACAAGTAAACTGTCTTTCAAAGCCACTTCCATTTCAAATTTATAAAAAAAAAAAAAAACCCACAAACCTAGCTTCGTATGTCAGCCATACGTTGGTTACTGATCCTCAGTCTCGTGGAAATTTGTAGCCTCCTCTCTTCTGCATTCCTCATCCAAACTCTTATCTCTGCTCAGCTTAACAACTCGAAACCTCTCCCTCCTGGCCTAGCATATCACAAAGCAGTTTATACTCCAAATACTCTGACTATTCATGATCGATTCAGCCCCTTCAACATGCCAAGAAGATAGATGTTCCCCATGTCCACACAGCTCGGGGAGGGAAGAAAACCAGGTTACCAACTCCATTAGTCTTCCATTATGAGCTGAATACTAATTGCAACAGTTGCTCATGCCTGTCCATAGCCATTATATTGGTCATAAATACGATTCGAATTTTCTGCATAGATTAGGCTACAACAGATTGTCAATGAAAGCAGCACGCAAGTATCATCATTAAGTCTACAACTGGAAGATGGGAACCCAAGGGTTTCTGCTGCAGCGCTCCGCACCCACACCCAGCTTTCACTACAAACATCTAGAGAGACTTTCTTAAGAAGCAACTTAGTGGTTTCACGTGTTTTTAAAAAAATAAAGCTACAAAACACTAATCGCTCACATGTAACATCTGCATTTAGAGATGATACATACAGATAACAGAACACCCAGAAAGTTCTACTCCCTGTCACAGGAAAATCCAAGTATCTAATAAGCCTCTCCTGGCACTGGGTTTGCGTATAATGGTGCCGAGATGTTCTTACTGAAGCCAGATATACCCAAATATTTCATTTCACTACCACAGCTTATTATAAATTCCATGCAACAGGTTGCAATCAGGCCCCTGACCTGCCTCTACACCACCAGCATTTGGATTTTTCACCCAACACAGAAACTATAACTCATTTTATGCTACAGTCTGCCTACGCTTCTGAGTGAACAAAGATGATCTAGTCTTCAGCCTTAAATAACTATACTGCTGAACTGTTTTGCAGATCAGATCAAGCAGTTACCTGTTCCACAGAACAGCAAAGATATTTAGCATCATCCTCACATTTAAAATCCCATATACAGTAATTTCTGTCTGTGTGGCTGAGAATAAACACATAAGAAAAAGTATTTTGGTTACATGGAAAAGATTTTTCAGATTGATGCAACCACACTAAAAGCTGACAACATTAGTTTGTGTCAAGCAACCTGCTAACCGCCTACTCAAAAAAAAAAAAAAAAAAAAGATAAAGTGTCAAGAAATCTTCAAAGAGAGGGCAGATACCATCTCCCTACATGATTATACGTGATTAACCTCGCTGCTTGAAGCTGCCGCTTCTCCCCAGACTCACAGTTATTTGGTGTTTACACAACCAGCTAAGTCAGAAACCCGAGCCATTCATGGAAAATCCCAATTCAAGAATTTGAGAGCACCTTCAAAGTTTTTCTGCTTTGCATGACTCTGTGGATATGCCTGCTTGCCGTGTTATTGCCAAGCCTTATGTCCAACCTCAGCACCTCCTGAGCTGCCGCTCCTGTTGCAGGAGTGCTGCACTGCTTGAATGAAGATACAAATTTTAAAATGGAAACTGCAAATAAACTAAAATAAATTTAAAAACCCATAAATAAGTCAACTGCATGTCCCTGGAGAAGGCTGGAATCCAAAAAAAGACCAGCCTTAAAGTGCTCCTGCAGAGACACCTCCCCCCGTGTTCGCCCGCTCCTTATCTGTGCCTGTGACGGCACGCTGCATTTATTAAGTTTTATCATTTTCTGGCCAGCCACTGACATAACTAGCACAACTTCTCCAAAAACCCATACTTGCATATTCCTTCTTACAGGCCACAACGGCTCGCTGGTGAGGGCAAAGCCAAAACTGAAGGGGAAGAGAGCAGCAGGGTGTGCAGCAGGGGAGCTGCGGGGGGGGGGCCAGCCCGGCTGTCGGGGTGTCTCCTGCTGCACAGAGGAAGGGAGCAGAAAGCTGCTGAGACTTCGGTCAACACCAAGCGTGTTTCAAGATCTGCTGTACTACTACAACAGATTTACTCTAATTTTTTTTTTTTCTTTAAATAACGCAAATAACCCAGTAGCTTTCCAATTCCTAATTTGGCCACACTAGCAGCAAGCTTTGGAAGGTTTTAAAAAGCAGGTAAGTTCAGCAACTGGCATCCTAATACTACTAATAATAAGAGTAATAAAATCCTTCAAATAAGGCCCACACTGCCACTGCAGCCAGGATACACTGGTTACAAGCCCTTTACAAAAAAGCCAAGCAAAGCAAGTAGAGCAGCACATTTTCAACCACAGCAAACTATAGCCATAGTAACCACAACCGAGTCAAGTAGCTGCAGTATCCAAAACTTGCTCCAAGTTTCCCTGCCTACCAAAAACACAGTTGGAGGGCTAACGCTGATGATCTAATCTAGCACCCCTAGCACAGCCCGTCCCTCCAGACACTGCTCTGGCCCCTACAGCCATCTGTGCCCTATCCTAGTCAGGCCATCTGTCAGAGCAAACACCCTCCGTGTTGGTGTTGGGAATTCCTCCCCAGCTGGGGCAGCAGGTAAACTCGCATCGCCTTCTGGAAATAAGGAAAAGCATAAAAGCAGTAGTGCTTTGCAGTGGATGCTAGTTGTCGTCCCTTTCAGAATTTGAACAAAGAAGGGAAAAAAATATCAGTGGAGAGAAACAAGCCCCACTCCCACTTGGGCTACAACTATTTAGCGTGCTCCAGCTTCTACCGCAGAATTGGTATGCGTAAGAACCGAAGGATGCCTTTCTTCTTTTTCTGTTTTTGAACACTATGGTGTGTCCGAGCCTCCCTGCCCCTAGTTTTGTTCCAGCTGGCCTTTTTTATTTTGGCAATCTCCAAAGAGAATGTTTCAACTCAAATACACACTTACTTTTTTAATACATCATTTGAGCAGAATATCCTGAACAGAAACTTGTAGCCCCTTCCAAATAGTTTTGTAGGGATAAACAGCCCCAGAAACAAGTACTAACCATTTTTAGCCCCACAATCTGCTCATCAGCTTTCTGTAACATTAAACAATTCATATAAACAAAGAATACATCGAAGTGACAAAATCAAACCTCAACTCTGCCTCTTCCAAGCTTTCTAACCAGCACTCACGCTTAAGGGTCAGCTATCTTGTCATTTAGTAGAAAGTTTAAACTAACAACATTACACACAAAACACACCTACCAAGCGTCAACTTCCAAAAAAAAAAAAAAAAAAAAAAACAACCACTATTTGAAGAGATGCAATACTTTAATATTACACTTGGTTTTTGAATCTCCTAAGGAGACATCAACCACTGAGCCATGATGCTCTGCTTCTTGCAGGCCACCAGGTCTACCCGACAAGAGGAAGATGATGCATTTTCCATATCTATTCCCCAGTCTGTGCTGTGTCCCCTCTGACACCAACGGGGCCGGTGGCACCGCAGGTACTCACCCAATGTCTGCTACAAGAAACTCCACTTGATATCCCCCCTACCTGTGTCCCTACAAATAGGAATGTGCTATCACACCATCACTTACTCTGCACCCGGTATCAGGTGAGCGCTTCCAAAACCAGAGAAGCCAGTATTGCACAGTTACACCTGCCAGCAGATAACACCAACAGATGAACATTGCAAGAACAAATTTTCAGTGCAAGTATCTGAAATAGGTACATTTCTCCTACCTGAACATTAAAGTAAAGTTATGCTTCGCTTGGACAATTTTCCCCTAATTCAAGCGACAAACTGGATAAAGACTCAACCAACACTACCCAACCATGATGTGACAAATAAATGAATGTTATCCTCTTTCTTTTATCAATATAAAGAGGATTATCTTCTCCCGCTCTAAAACTAAGAGCAATTAAACTAAATTAAACTGTGCTTTCAAAGTTATGTTCAGCCAAATAAATTGTTTCCCATTAGTTAAACTGTAGTTTACATCACAGGATCGGATATTTGTGCAACGATTAATGATCTTTGCAGCAAGGACATACTGATGCATACAAAAAGCTGCAATGTATTTGTCTATTCTGAGCGTGGGTTTAGCACCTAGGTCTTTATCAACTCTGGTAAATGATGCACACAAATACTCTTCACCACCTTTTAATAACAGACCTGCACAGAAACATTACACCTGCAAGATTGTAATACTAAGCGATGCTGGAATGTTTGGGAAGTAGAATAAAAGCAAGACCCCTCATAAGGGACTCACTGCCTACGTTACTGTGCTCTTGAAACCAGAAAATACATGCCCTTTTAAGGTTCCCACAAGTATCTAGCAGTGCTTCACTACCTGCATCTCAAAGCTTCCCTTTAAA